ATCCTGGACCGCCCAGCACGATCGTGTTTGCCACTAATCCTAGATACCTTGGGACGAGATTCCAGCTCTTTTTGCCTTCAAACGGGCCCGCCGCATGAAGAACCGTCCCCATATAAGGGCGTTTGTGAGCCCGGGAAGCTGCGAAATCCGTACCGGTATAAAATGTGAAGCAATGTTACTCGGATCCTGGACCGCCCAGCACGATCGTGTTTGCCACAATCCTAGATACCTTGGGACGAGATTCCAGCTCTTTTTGCCTTCAAACGGGCCCGCCGCATGAAGAACCGTCCCCATATAAGGGCGTTTGTGAGCCCGGGAAGCTGCGAAATCCGTACCGGTATAAAATGTGAAGCAATGTTACTCGGATCATGGACCGCCCAGCACGATCGTGTTTGCCACAATCCTAGATACCTTGGGACGAGATTCCAGCTCTTTTGCCTTCAAACGGGCCCGCCGCATGAAGAACCGTCCCCATATAAGGGCGTTTGTGAGCCCGGGAAGCTGCGAAATCCGTACCGGTATAAAATGTGAAGCAATGTTACTCGGATCATGGACCGCCCAGCACGATCGTGTTTGCCACAATCCTAGATACCTTGGGACGAGATTCCAGCTCTTTTTGCCTTCAAACGGGCCCGCCGCATGAAGAACTGTCCCCATATAAGGGCGTTTGTGAGCCCGGGAAGCTGCGAAATCCGTACCGGTATAAAATGTGAAGCAATGTTACTCGGATCATGGACCGCCCAGCACGATCGTGTTTGCCACAATCCTAGATACCTTGGGACGAGATTCCAGCTCTTTTTGCCTTCAAACGGGCCCGCCGCATGAAGAACCGTCCCCATATAAGGGCGTTTGTGAGCCCGGGAAGCTGCGAAATCCGTACCGGTATAAAATGTGAAGCAATGTTACTCGGATCATGGACCGCCCAGCACGATCGTGTTTGCCACAATCCTAGATACCTTGGGACGAGATTCCAGCTCTTTTTGCCTTCAAACGGGCCCGCCGCATGAAGAACCGTCCCCATATAAGGGCGTTTGTGAGCCCGGGAAGCTGCGAAATCCGTACCGGTATAAAATGTGAAGCAATGTTACTCGGATCCTGGACCGCCCAGCACGATCGTGTTTGCCACAATCCTAGATACCTTGGGACGAGATTCCAGCTCTTTTTGCCTTCAAACGGGCCCGCCGCATGAAGAACCGTCCCCATATAAGGGCGTTTGTGAGCCCGGGAAGCTGCGAAATCCGTACCGGTATAAAATGTGAAGCAATGTTACTCGGATCCTGGACCGCCCAGCACGATCGTGTTTGCCACAATCCTAGATACCTTGGGACGAGATTCCAGCTCTTTTGCCTTCAAACGGGCCCGCCGCATGAAGAAACCGTCCCCATATAAGGGCGTTTGTGAGCCCGGGAAGCTGCGAAATCCGTACCGGTATAAAATGTGAAGCAATGTTACTCGGATCCTGGACCGCCCAGCACGATCGTGTTTGCCACAATCCTAGATACCTTGGGACGAGATTCCAGCTCTTTTTGCCTTCAAACGGGCCCGCCGCATGAAGAACTCGTCCCCATATAAGGGCGTTTGTGAGCCCGGGAAGCTGCGAAATCCGTACCGGTATAAAATGTGAAGCAATGTTACTCGGATCCTGGACCGCCCAGCACGATCGTGTTTGCCACAATCCTAGATACCTTGGGACGAGATTCCAGCTCTTTTTGCCTTCAAACGGGCCCGCCGCATGAAGAACCGTCCCCATATAAGGGCGTTTGTGAGCCCGGGAAGCTGCGAAATCCGTACCGGTATAAAATGTGAAGCAATGTTACTCGGATCCTGGACCGCCCAGCACGATCGTGTTTGCCACAATCCTAGATACCTTGGGACGAGATTCCAGCTCTTTTTGCCTTCAAACGGGCCCGCCGCATGAAGAACCGTCCCCATATAAGGGCGTTTGTGAGCCCGGGAAGCTGCGAAATCCGTACCGGTATAAAATGTGAAGCAATGTTACTCGGATCATGGACCGCCCAGCACGATCGTGTTTGCCACAATCCTAGATACCTTGGGACGAGATTCCAGCTCTTTTTGCCTTCAAACGGGCCCGCCGCATGAAGAACCGTCCCCATATAAGGGCGTTTGTGAGCCCGGGAAGCTGCGAAATCCGTACCGGTATAAAATGTGAAGCAATGTTACTCGGATCATGGACCGCCCAGCACGATCGTGTTTGCCACAATCCTAGATACCTTGGGACGAGATTCCAGCTCTTTTGCCTTCAAACGGGCCCGCCGCATGAAGAACCGTCCCCATATAAGGGCGTTTGTGAGCCCGGGAAGCTGCGAAATCCGTACCGGTATAAAATGTGAAGCAATGTTACTCGGATCCTGGACCGCCCAGCACGATCGTGTTTGCCACAATCCTAGATACCTTGGGACGAGATTCCAGCTCTTTTTGCCTTCAAACGGGCCCGCCGCATGAAGAACTCGTCCCCATATAAGGGCGTTTGTGAGCCCGGGAAGCTGCGAAATCCGTACCGGTATAAAATGTGAAGCAATGTTACTCGGATCCTGGACCGCCCAGCACGATCGTGTTTGCCACAATCCTAGATACCTTGGGACGAGATTCCAGCTCTTTTTGCCTTCAAACGGGCCCGCCGCATGAAGAACCGTCCCCATATAAGGGCGTTTGTGAGCCCGGGAAGCTGCGAAATCCGTACCGGTATAAAATGTGAAGCAATGTTACTCGGATCCTGGACCGCCCAGCACGATCGTGTTTGCCACAATCCTAGATACCTTGGGACGAGATTCCAGCTCTTTTTGCCTTCAAACGGGCCCGCCGCATGAAGAACCGTCCCCATATAAGGGCGTTTGTGAGCCCGGGAAGCTGCGAAATCCGTACCGGTATAAAATGTGAAGCAATGTTACTCGGATCATGGACCGCCCAGCACGATCGTGTTTGCCACAATCCTAGATACCTTGGGACGAGATTCCAGCTCTTTTTGCCTTCAAACGGGCCCGCCGCATGAAGAACCGTCCCCATATAAGGGCGTTTGTGAGCCCGGGAAGCTGCGAAATCCGTACCGGTATAAAATGTGAAGCAATGTTACTCGGATCCTGGACCGCCCAGCACGATCGTGTTTGCCACAATCCTAGATACCTTGGGACGAGATTCCAGCTCTTTTTGCCTTCAAACGGGCCCGCCGCATATGAAGAACCGTCCCCATATAAGGGCGTTTGTGAGCCCGGGAAGCTGCGAAATCCGTACCGGTATAAAATGTGAAGCAATGTTACTCGGATCATGGACCGCCCAGCACGATCGTGTTTGCCACAATCCTAGATACCTTGGGACGAGATTCCAGCTCTTTTTGCCTTCAAACGGGCCCGCCGCATGAAGAACCGTCCCCATATAAGGGCGTTTGTGAGCCCGGGAAGCTGCTGAAATCCGTACCGGTATAAAATGTGAAGCAATGTTACTCGGATCATGGACCGCCCAGCACGATCGTGTTTGCCACAATCCTAGATACCTTGGGACGAGATTCCAGCTCTTTTTGCCTTCAAACGGGCCCGCCGCATGAAGAACTGTCCCCATATAAGGGCGTTTGTGAGCCCGGGAAGCTGCGAAATCCGTACCGGTATAAAATGTAGAAGCAATGTTACTCGGATCATGGACCGCCCAGCACGATCGTGTTTGCCACAATCCTAGATACCTTGGGACGAGATTCCAGCTCGTTTTTGCCTTCAAACGGGCCCGCCGCATGAAGAACCGTCCCCATATAAGGGCGTTTGTGAGCCCGGGAAGCTGCTGAAATCCGTACCGGTATAAAATGTGAAGCAATGTTACTCGGATCATGGACCGCCCAGCACGATCGTGTTTGCCACAATCCTAGATACCTTGGGACGAGATTCCAGCTCTTTTTGCCTTCAAACGGGCCCGCCGCATGAAGAACCGTCCCCATATAAGGGCGTTTGTGAGCCCGGGAAGCTGCGAAATCCGTACCGGTATAAAATGTGAAGCAATGTTACTCGGATCCTGGACCGCCCAGCACGATCGTGTTTGCCTACAATCCTAGATACCTTGGGACGAGATTCCAGCTCTTTTTGCCTTCAAACGGGCCCGCCGCATGAAGAACCGTCCCCATATAAGGGCGTTTGTGAGCCCGGAAGCTGCGAAATCCGTACCGGTATAAAATGTGAAGCAATGTTACTCGGATCATAGGACCGCCCAGCACGATCGTGTTTGCCACAATCCTAGATACCTTGGGACGAGATTCCAGCTCTTTTTGCCTTCAAACGGGCCCGCCGCATGAAGAACCGTCCCCATATAAGGGCGTTTGTGAGCCCGGGAAGCTGCGAAATCCGTACCGGTATAAAATGTGAAGCAATGTTACTCGGATCATGGACCGCCCAGCACGATCGTGTTTGCCACAATCCTAGATACCTTGGGACGAGATTCCAGCTCTTTTTGCCTTCAAACGGGCCCGCCGCATGAAGAACCGTCCCCATATAAGGGCGTTTGTGAGCCCGGGAAGCTGCGAAATCCGTACCGGTATAAAATGTGAAGCAATGTTACTCGGATCCTGGACCGCCCAGCACGATCGTGTTTGCCACAATCCTAGATACCTTGGGACGAGATTCCAGCTCTTTTTGCCTTCAAACGGGCCCGCCGCATGAAGAACCGTCCCCATATAAGGGCGTTTGTGAGCCCGGGAAGCTGCGAAATCCGTACCGGTATAAAATGTGAAGCAATGTTACTCGGATCCTGGACCGCCCAGCACGATCGTGTTTGCCACAATCCTAGATACCTTGGGACGAGATTCCAGCTCTTTTTGCCTTCAAACGGGCCCGCCGCATGAAGAACTCGTCCCCATATAAGGGCGTTTGTGAGCCCGGGAAGCTGCGAAATCCGTACCGGTATAAAATGTGAAGCAATGTTACTCGGATCATGGACCGCCCAGCACGATCGTGTTTGCCACAATCCTAGATAGCCTTGGGACGAGATTCCAGCTCTTTTTGCCTTCAATCGGGCCCGGTGCATGAAGAACCGTCCCCATATAAGGGCGTTTGTGAGCCCGGGAAGCTGCGAAATCCGTACCGGTATAAAATGTGAAGCATTGTTACTCGGATCATGGACCGCCCATCACGATCGTGTTTGCCACAATCGATGTCCACGTCCGCGTCCACGTCCACGTCCACGTCCATGTCCACGTCCACGTCCACGTCCACGTCTTGGTCCACGTCCACGTCCATGTCCATGTCCACGTCCACGTCCACGTTCATGTCCACGTCCATGTCCACGTCCACGTCCACGTCCACGTCCTCGTCCACATCCACGTCCATGTCCACGTCCACGTCCACGTCCACGTCCATGTCCATGTCCACGTCCACGTCAACGTCCACGTCCACGTCCATGTCCATGTCCACGTCCACGTCCATGTCCATGTCCACGTGCACGTCCACGTCCATGTCCACGTCCATGTCCACGTCCACGTCCACGTCCACGTCCAGGTCCACGTCCACGTCCACGTCCACATCCACGTCCACGTCCACGTCCGTGTCCGTGTCCACGTCCACGTCCACGTCCATGTCCACGTCCACGTCCATGTCCATGTCCACGTCCACGTCCACGTCCAGGTCCACGTCCATGTCCACGTCCACGTCCACGTCCATGTCCATGTCCACGTCCACGTCCACGTCCATGTCCACATCCACATCCACGTCCATGTCCACGTCCACGTCCATGTCCACGTCCACGTCCATGTCCACGTCCACGTCCATGTCCATGTCCACGTCCACATCCACGTCCACGTCCACGTCCACGTCCATGTCCATGTCCACGTCCACGTCCACGTCCATGTCCACGTCCACATCCACGTCCATGTCCACGTCCATGTCCACGTCCATGTCCACGTCCACGTCCACGTCCATGTCCACGTCCACGTAAACGTCCACGTCCACGTCCACGTCCAGGTCCACGTCCACGTCCACGTCCACATCCACGTCCACGTCCACGTCCATGTCCACGTCTATGTCCACGTCCAGGTCCACGTCCAAGTCCACGTCCACGTCCACGTCCAAGTCCACGTCCACGTCCACGTCCACGTCCATGTCCATGTCCACGTCCACGTCCACGTCCACGTCCATGTCCACGTCCACGTTCACGTACATGTCCACGTCCACGTCCACGTCCATGTCCACGTCCACGTCCACGTCCATGTCCACGTCCATGTCCACGTCCACGTCCACGTCCACGTCCACGTCCATGTCCATGTCCACGTCCACGTCAACATCCACGTCCACGTCCACGTCCATGTCCACGTCCACGTCCATGTCCATGTCCACGTCCACGTCCACATCCATGTCCACATCCATGTCCACGTCCACGTCCACGTCCACGTCCAAGTCCACGTCCACGTCTACGTCCACGTCCACGTCCACGTCCATGTCCACGTTCACGTCCACGTCCATGTCCGGTCCACGTCCACGTCCATGTCCACGTCCACGTCCACGTCCAGGTCCACGTCCACGTCCACGTCCATGTCCACTTCCACGTCCACGTCCATGTCCACGTCCACGTCCACGTCCATGTCCACGTCCATGTCCACGTCCATGTCCCAACCACGTCCACGTCCATGTCAACGTCCATGTAAACGTCCACGTCCACGTCCACGTCCACGTCCAGGTCCACATCCAAGTCCACGTCCACGTCCACGTCCACGTCCAAGTCCACGTCCACGTCCACGTCCACGTCCATGTCCACGTCCACGTCCACGTCCATGTCCACGTCCACGTCCACGTCCAAGTCCACGTCCAAGTCCACGTCCACGTCCACGTCCAAGTCCACGTCCACGTCCACGTCCACGTCCACGTCCACGTCCATGTCCACGGTCCACGTCCACGTCCACGTCCACGTCCATGTCCACGTCCACGTCCACCGTCCACGTCCAGGTCCACGTCCACGTCCACGTCCACGTCCACGTCCAAGTCCAGGTCCACGTCCACGTCCACGTCCACGTCCACGTCCACGTCCACGTCCTCATCCACGTCCACGTCCACGTCCACGTCCACGTCCAGGTCCACGTCCAAGTCCACGTCCAAGTCCAGGTCCACGTCCACGTCCACGTCAAGGTCCACGTCCACGTCCACGTCCACGTCCATGTCCACGTCCACGTCCACGTCCACGTCCACGTCCACGTCCAGGTCCACGTCCACGTCCACGTCCACGTCCACGTCTACGTCCAGGTCCACGTCCACGTCCACGTCCAGGTCCACGTCCAAGTCCACGTCAACGTCCACGTCCAAGTCCACGTCCACGTCCACGTCCACGTCCACGTCCATGTCCACGTCCACGTCCACGTCCATGTCCACGTCCATGTCCACGTCCACGTCCACGTCCACGTCCACGTCCACGTCCATGTCCACGTCCACGTCCACGTCCATGTCCATGTCCACGTCCACGTCAACGTCCACGTCCACGTCCATGTCCATGTCCTCGTCCACGTCCATGTCCACGTCCACGTCCACGTCCACGTCTACGTCCACGTCCACGTCCAGGTCCACGTCCACGTCCACGTCCATTCACGTCCATGTCCATGTCCACGTCCACGTCTACGTCCACGTCCACGTCCACGTCCACGTCCACGTCCATGTCCACGTCCACGTCCACGTCCATGTCCACGTCCACGTCCACGTCCATGTCCACGTCCACGTCCACGTCCACGTCCACGTCAACGTCCACGTCCACGTCCACGTCCACGTCCATGTCCACGTCCACGTCCATGTCCATGTCCACGTCCACGTCCACGTCCACGTCCATGTCCACGTCCACATCCACGTCCATGTCCATGTCCACGTCCACGTCCACGTCCATGTCCACGTCCACGTCCACGTCCATGTCCACGTCCATGTCCACGTCCATGTCCACGTCCACGTCCACGTCAATGTCCACGTCCACGTCCACGTCAACGTCCACGTCCACGTAAACGTCCACGTCCACGTCCACGTCTAGGTCCAGGTCCACGTCCACGTCCACGTCCACGTCCATGTCCACGTCCATGTCCACGTCCAGGTCCACGTCCACGTCCACGTCCAAGTCCACGTCCACGTCCACGTCCACGTCCATGTCCATGTCCATGTCCACGTCCACGTCCACGTCCATGTCCACGTCCACGTCCACGTCCACGTCCACGTCCATGTCCACGTCCACGTCCATGTCCACGTCCACGTCCATGTCCATGTCCACGTCCACGTCCACGTCCATGTCCACGTCCATGTCCACGTCCACGTCCATGTCCATGTCCACGTCCACGTCCACGTCCACGTCCATGTCCACGTCCATGTCCACGTCTACGTCCACGTCCAAGTCCACGTCCATGTCCACGTCCACGTCCACGTCCACGTCCACGTCCAGGTCCACGTCAACGTCCACGTCCACGTCCACGTCCACGTCCACGTCCACGTCCACGTCCACGTCCAGGTCCACGTCCACGTCCACGTCCACGTCCACCTCAGGTCCAGGTCCAGGTCCACGTCCACGTCCACGTCCACGTCCACGTCCACGTCCACGTTCACGTCCACGTCCACGTCCACGTCCACGTCCATGTCCACGTCCATGTCCACGTCCATGTCCACGTCCAAGTCCACCTCCATGTCCACGTCCACGTCCACGTCCACGTCCACGTCCACATCCACGTCCATGTCCATGTCCACGTCCACGTCCACGTCCACGTCCACGTCCACGTCCACGTCCACGTCCATGTCCACGTCCACGTCCACGTCCATGTCCACGTCCACGTCCACGTCCATGTCCACGTCCACGTCCACGTCCACGTCCACGTCCATGTCAACGTCCACGTCCACGTCCACGTCCACGTCCATGTCCATGTCCACGTCCACGTCCATGTCCATGTCCACGTCCACGTCCACGTCCACGTCCATGTCTACGTCCATGTCCACGTCCACGTCCATGTCCACGTCCACGTCCATGTCCATGTCCACGTCTATGTCCACGTCTATGTCCACGTCCATGTCCATGTCCACGTCCACGTCCACGTCCATGTCCACGTCCATGTCCACGTCCATGTCCACGTCCATGTCCACGTCCATGTCCACGTCCATGTCCACGTCCATGTCCACGTCCACATCCACATCCAGGTCCACGTCCACGTCCAAGTCCAGGTCCACGTCCACGTCGACGTCCACGTCCACGTCCACGTCCATGTCCACGTCCATGTCCACGTCCAGGTCCACGTCCAAGTCCACGTCCACGTCCACGTTCACGTCCACGTCCATGTCCATGTCCACGTCCACGTCAACGTCCACGTCCACGTCCACCTCCATGTCCATGTCCACGTCCACGTCCATGTCCATGTCCACGTCCACGTCCATGTCCACGTCCATGTCCACGTCCACCTCCACGTCCACGTCTACGTCCACGTCCAGGTCCACGTCCATGTCCATGTCCACGTCCACGTCCACGTCCACGTCCACGTCCACGTCCACGTCCACGTCCACGTCCACGTCCATGTCCACGTCCACGTCAACGTCCACGTCCACGTCCACGTCCATGTCCATGTCCACGTCCACGTCCATGTCCATGTCCACGTCCACGTCCACGTCCATGTCCACGTCCATGTCCACGTCCACGTCCACGTCCACGTCCAGGTCCACGTCCACGTCCACGTCTACGTCCACGTCCACGTCCACGTCCAGGTCCACGTCCACGTCCACGTCCACGTCGACGTCCATGTCCACGTCCACGTCCACGTCCACGTCCACGTCCACGTCCATGTCCACGTTCAACGTCCACGTCCATGTCCATGTCCACGTCCACGTCCGCGTCCAGGTCCACGTCCATGTCCACGTCCACGTCCACGTCCATGTCCATGTCCACGTCCACGTCCACGTCCACGTCCATGTCCACGTCCATGTCCACGTCCATGTCCACGTCCACGTCCACGTCCATGTCCATGTCCACGTCCACGTCCACGTCCATGTCCACGTCCACGTCCATGTCCACGTCCACGTCCATGTCCATGTCCACGTCCACGTCAACGTCCACGTCCACGTCCACGTCCATGTCCATGTCCACGTCCACGTCCATGTCCACGTCCACGTCCACGTCCATATCCACGTCCACGTCCATGTCCATGTCCACGTCCACGTCCAGGTCCACGTCCACGTCCACGTCCACGTCCACGTCCATGTCCACGTCCACGTCCACGTCGACGTCCAGGTCTTCGTCCAAGTCCACGTCCACGTCCACGTCCAAGTCCACGTCCAGGTCTACGTCCACGTCCACGTCCATGTCCATGTCCAAGTCCACGTCCACGTCCATGTCCACGTCCACGTCCACGTCCATGTCCACGTCCACGTCCACGTCCATGTCCACGTCCATGTCCACGTCCACGTCTACGTCCACGTCCACGTCCACATCCACGTCCACGTCCATGTCCACGTCCACGTCCACTTCCACGTCCACGTCCACGTCCAGGTCACGTCCACGTCCATGTCCACGTCCATGTCCACGTCCACGTCCACGTCCACGTCCACGTCCACGTCCACCTCCACGTCCACGTCCACGTCAACGTCCACGTCCACGTCCACGTCCACGTCCATGTCCACGTCCACGTCGTCCATGTCCACGTCCACGTCAACGTCCACATCCATGTCCACGTCCACGTCCACGTCCATGTCACGTCCACGTCCACGTCCACGTCCAGTCCAGGTCCACGTCCACGTCCACGTCCACGTCCACGTCCACGTCCACGTCCATGTCCACGTCCACGTCCATGTCCATGTCCATGTCCACGTCCAACGTCCTATGTCCACGTCCATGTCCACGTCCATGTCCACGTCTACGTCCACGTCGAAGTCCTCGTCTACGTCCACGTCCACGTCCACGTCCACGTCCACGTCCACGTCCACGTCCACGTCCACGTCCACGTCCACGTCCACGTCCACGTCCACGTCCATGTCCACGTCCACGTCCACGTCCACGTCCACGTCCACGTCCGTCCACGTCCACGTCCACGTCCACGTCCACGTCCACGTCCACGTCGTCACGTCCACGTCCACGTCCAGTCCACGTCCACGTCCACGTCCACGTCCACGTCCACGTCCACGTCCACGTCCATGTCCACGTCCACGTCCACGTCCACGTCCACGTCCACGTCCATGTCCACGTCCACGTCCACGTCCACGTCCACGTCCACGTCCACGTCCACGTCCACGTCCACGTCCATGTCCATGTCCACGTCCATGTCCACGTCCACGTCCACGTCCATGTCCACGTCCACGTCCACGTCCACGTCCACGTCCATGTCCACGTCCACGTCCACGTCCACGTCCACGTCCATGTCCACGTCCACGTCCACGTCCACGTCCACGTCCACGTCCACGTCCACGTCCACGTCCACGTCCACGTCCACGTCCACGTCCATGTCCACGTCCACGTCCACGTCCATGTCCACGTCCACGTCCACGTCCACGTCCACGTCCACGTCCATGTCCACGTCCATGTCCACGTCCATGTCCACGTCCACGTCCACGTCCACGTCCACGTCCACGTCCATGTCCACGTCCACGTCCACGTCCACGTCCATGTCCACGTCCACGTCCACGTCCATGTCCACGTCCATGTCCACGTCCACGTCCACGTCCACGTCCACGTCCATGTCCACGTCCACGTCCACGTCCACGTCCACGTCCATGTCCACGTCCAGGTCCACGTCCACGTCCACGTCCATGTCCACGTACATGTCCACGTCCACGTCCACGTCCAAGTCCACGTCCATGTCCACGTCAAGTCCACGTCCACGTCCACGTCCACGTCCATGTCCACGTCCATGTCCACGTCCACGTCCACGTCCACGTCCACGTCCACGTCCACGTCCACGTCCATGTCCACGTTCCACGTCCACGTCCAGTCCATGTCCACGTCCACGTGCATCGTCCACGTCCACGTCCACGTCCACGTCCATGTTCACATCCATGTCCACGTCCACGTCCACGTCCACGTCCACGTCCACGTCCACGTGCACGTCCCTGTCCACGTCCACGTCCACGTCCACGTCCACGTCTACGTCCACGTTCCAGGTCCACGTCCACGTGCATGTCCACGTCCACGTCCACGTCCACGTCCATGTCCACGTCCATGTCATGTCCACGTCCACGTCCACGTCCACGTCCATGTCCACGTCCACGTCCACGTCCATGTCCACCTCCACGTCCACGTCCACGTCCATGTCCATGTCCACGTCCATGTCCACGTCCACGTCCACGTCCATGTCCACGTCCACGTCCACGTCCACGTCCATGTCCATGTCCACGTCCCCGTCCACGTCCATGTCCATATCCACGTCCATATCCACGTCCACGTCCACGTCCATGTCCACGTCCACCTCCACGTCCACGTCCACGTCCATGTCCATGTCCACGTCCATGTCCATGTCCACGTCCACGTCCACCATGTCCATGTCCACGTCCACGTCCACGTCCATCTCCACGTCCATGTCCATGTCCACGTCCCCGTCCACGTCCATGTCCATATCCACGTCCATATCCACGTCCACGTCCACGTCCATGTCCACGTCCACCTCCACGTCCACGTCCACGTCCATGTCCATGTCCACGTCCATGTCCATGTCCACGTCCACGTCCACCATGTCCATGTCCACGTCCACGTCCACGTCCATCTCCACGTCCATGTCCATGTCCACGTCCACGTCCACCACGTCCATGTCCACGTCCACGTCCACGTCCTTGTCCACGTCCATGTCCATGTCCACGTCCACGTCCACGTCCACGTCCACGTCCACGTCCATGTCCATGTCCATGTCCACGTCCACGTCCATGTCCACGGTCCACGTCCACGTCCACGTCCACGTCCACGTCCATGTCCACGTCCACGTCCACGTCCATGTCCACGTCCACGTCCACGTCCACGTCCACGTCCACGTCCAAGTCCACGTCCATGTCCACGTCCAAGTCCACGTTCACGTCCACGTCCACGTCTACGTCCACGTCCATGTCCATGTCCACGTCCATGTCCACGTCCACGTCCACGTTCACGTCCATGTCCATGTCCACCTCCACGTCCATATCCATGTCCACGTCCACGTCCACGTCCACGTCCATGTCCACGTCCACGTCCACGTCCACGTCCACGTCCACGTCCAGGTCCACGTCCACGTCCATGTCCATGTCCACGTCCACGTCCATGTCCACGTCCACGTCCATGTCCACGTCCACGTCCACGTCCACGTCCACGTCCACGTCCATGTCCACGTCCATGTCCACGTCCATGTCCACGTCCAAGTCCACGTCCATGTCCACGTCCACGTCCACGTCCACGTCTACGTCCACATCCACGTCCATGTCCATGTCCACGTCCACGTCCACGTCCACATCCACGTCCACGTCCACGTCCACGTCCATGTCCACGTCCACGTCCACGTCCATGTCCACGTCCACGTCCATGTCCACGTCCACGTCCACGTCCACGTCCACGTCCATGTCAACGTCCACGTCCACGTCCACGTCCACGTCCATGTCCATGTCCACGTCCACGTCCACGTCCACGTCCATGTCCATGTCCACGTCCACGTCCACGTCCACGTCCATGTCCACGTCCATGTCCACGTCCACGTCCATGTCCACGTCCACGTCCACGTCCATGTCCACGTCTATGTCCACGTCTATGTCCACGTCCATGTCCATGTCCACGTCCACGTCCACGTCCATGTCCACGTCCATGTCCACGTCCATGTCCACGTCCATGTCCACGTCCATGTCCACGTCCATGTCCACGTCCATGTCCACGTCCATGTCCACGTCCTCATCCACATCCAGGTCCACGTCCACGTCCAAGTCCAGGTCCACGTCCACGTCCACGTCCACGTCCATGTCCACGTCCATGTCCACGTCCAGGTCCACGTCCAAGTCCACGTCCACGTCCAAGTCCACGTCCACGTCCACGTCCACGTTCACGTCCACGTCCATGTCCATGTCCACGTCCACGTCAACGTCCATGTCCACGTCCATGTCCACGTCCACCTCCACGTCCACGTCCACGTCGACGTCCACGTCCACGTCCATGTCCATGTCCACGTCCACGTCCACGTCCACGTCCACGTCCACATCCACGTCCACGTCCACGTCCATGTCCATTGTCCACGTCCACGTCAACGTCCACGTCCACGTCCACGTCCATGTCCATGTCCACGTCGACGTCCATGTCCATGTCCACGTCCACGTCCACGTCCATGTCCACGTCCATGTCCACGTCCACGTCCACGTCCACGTCCAGGTCCACGTCCACGTCCACGTCCACGTCCACGTCCATGTCCATGTCCACGTCCACGTCCACGTCCACGTCCACGTCCACGTCCACGTCCATGTCCACGTCCACGTCAACGTCCACGTCCACGTCCACGTCCACGTCCACGTCCATGTCCACGTCCACGTCCATGTCCATGTCCACGTCCACGTCCGCGTCCAGGTCCACGTCCATGTCCACGTCGACGTCCACGTCCATGTCCATGTCCACGTCCACGTCCACGTCCATGTCCACGTCCACGTCCATGTCCACGTCCATGTCCACGTCCATGTCCACGTCCACGTCCACGTCCATGTCCATGTCCACGTCCACGTCCACGTCCATGTCCACGTCCACGTCCATGTCCACGTCCACGTCCATGTCCATGTCCACGTCCACGTCAACGTCCACGTCCATGTCCACGTCCATGTCCATGTCCACGTCCACGTCCATGTCCATGTCCACGTCCACGTCCACGTCCATGTCCACGTCCATGTCCACGTCCACGTCCACGTCCACGTCCAGGTCCACGTCCACGTCCACGTCACGTCCACGTCTGTCCATGTCCACGTCCACGTCCACGTCGACGTCCACGTCCACGTCCATGTCCACGTCCACGTCAACGTCCACGTCCACGTCCACGTCCATGTCCACGTCCACGTCCATGTCCATGTCCACGTCCACGTCCGTGTCGAGGTCCACGTCCATGTCCACGTCCACGTCCACGTCCATGTCCATGTCCACGTCCACGTCCACGTCCATGTCCACGTCCACGTCCATGTCCACGTCCATGTCCACGTCCATGTCCACGTCCACGTCCATGTCCACGTCCACGTAAACGTCCATGTCCACGTCCAGGTCCACGTCCACGTCCACGTCCACGTCCACGTCCACGTCCACGTCCATGTCCACGTCCATGTCCATGTCCAAGTCTACGTCCAAGTCCACGTCCACGTCCACGTCCAAGTCTACGTCCACGTCTACGTCCACGTCCACGTCCATGTCCATGTCCACGTCCACGTCCACGTCCACGTCCATGTCCACCCGTCCACGTCCACGTCCCACGTCCACGTCCACGTCCACGTCCACGTCCATGTCCACGTCCACGTCCACGTCAAGTCCACGTCCACGTCCACGTCCAGGTCCACGTCCACGTCCATGTCCACGTCCATGTCCACGGTCCAACGTCCCACGTCCACGTCCTCGTCCACGTCCACGTCCACGTCCACGTCCACGTCCACGTCCACGTCCACGTCCATGTCCACGTCCACGTCGTCCATGTCCACATCCACGTCCACGTCCACGTCCATGTCCACGTCCACGTCCACGTCCACGTCCACGTCCACGTCCAGGTCCACGTCCACGTCCACGTCCACGTCCACGTCCACGTCCACGTCCATGTCCACGTCCACGTCCACGTCCACGTCCACGTCCATGTCCACGTCCATGTCCACGTCCACGTCCACGTCCAAGTCCACGTCCACGTCCACGTCCACGTCCACGTCCACGTCCACGTCCACGTCCACGTCCACGTCCACGTCCACGTCCACGTCCACGTCCACGTCCACGTCCACGTCCACGTCCACGTCCACGTCCACGTCCATGTCCACGTCCACGTCCACGTCCATGTCCACGTCCACGTCCACGTCCATGTCCACGTCACATGTCCACGTCCACGTCCACGTCCACGTCCACGTCCATGTCCATGTCCACGTCCAGGTCCACGTCCAGGTCCACGTCCATGTCCACGTCCACGTCCACGTCCACGTCCACGTCCACGTCCACGTCCATGTCCATGTCCACGTCCACGTCCACGTCCACGTCCACGTCCACGTCCACGTCCACGTCCACGTCCACGTCCATGTCCACGTCCATGTCCACGTCCACGTCCACGTCCACGTCCACGTCCACGTCCACGTCCACGTCAACGTCCACGTCCACGTCCACGTCCATGTCCACGTCCACGTCGTCCATGTCCACATCCACGTCCACGTCCACGTCCATGTCCACGTCCACGTCCACGTCCACGTCCACGTCCACGTCCACGTCCAGGTCCACGTCCACGTCCACGTCCACGTCCACGTCCACGTCCACGTCCACGTCCATGTCCACGTCCACGTCCACGTCCACGTCCACGTCCATGTCCACGTCCATGTCCACGTCCACGTCCACGTCCAAGTCCACGTCCACGTCCACGTCCACGTCCACGTCCACGTCCACGTCCACGTCCACGTCCACGTCCATGTCCACGTCCACGTCCACGTCCACGTCCACGTCCACGTCCACGTCCATGTCCACGTCCACGTCCACGTCCATGTCCACGTCCACGTCCACGTCCATGTCCACGTCAATGTCCACGTCCACGTCCACGTCCACGTCCACGTCCATGTCCATGTCCACGTCCAGGTCCACGTCCAGGTCCACGTCCATGTCCACGTCCACGTCCACGTCCACGTCCACGTCCACGTCCAGTCCATGTCCACGTCCACGTCCACGTCCACGTCCATGTCCATGTCCACGTCCACGTCCACGTCCACGTCCACGTCCATGTCCACGTCAACGTCCACGTCCACGTCCACGTCCACGTCCACGTCCACGTCCACGTCCACGTCCATGTCCACGTCCACGTCCACGTCCATGTCCACGTCCACGTCCACGTCCACGTCCACGTCCACGTCCATGTCCACGTCCACGTCCACGTCCATGTCCAGGTCCATGTCCATGTCCACGTCCACGTCCACGTCCACGTCCACGTCCATGTCCACGTCCACGTCCACGTCCACGTCCATGTCCACGTCCACGTCCACGTCCATGTCCACGTCCATGTCCACGTCCACGTCCACGTCCACGTCCACGTCCATGTCCACGTCCACGTCCACGTCCACGTCCACGTCCATGTCCACGTCCAGGTCCAGGTCCACGTCCACGTCCATGTCCACGTCCATGTCCACGTCCACGTCCACGTCCCAGTCCACGTCCATGTCCACGTCCAAGTCCACGTCCACGTCCACGTCCACGTCCATGTCCACGTCCATGTCGACGTCCACGTCCACGTCCAAGTCCACGTCCATGTCCACGTCCAAGTCCACGTCCACGTCCACGTCCACGTCCACGTCCATGTCCACGTCCACGTCCACGTCCACGTCCATGTCCACGTCCACGTGCATGTCCACGTCCACGTCCACGTCCATGTCCACGTCCATGTCCACGTCCACGTCCACGTCCACGTCCACGTCCACGTCCACGTCCATGTCCACGTCCACGTCCACGTCCACGTCCACGTCCACGTCCACGTCCATGTCCACGTCCACGTCATGTCCACGTCCACGTCCACGTCCACGTCCATGTCCACGTCCATGTCCACGTCCACGTCCACGTCCACGTCCACGTCCATGTCCACGTCCACGTCCACGTCCATGTCCACCTCCACGTCCACGTCCACGTCCATGTCCATGTCCACGTCCATGTCCACGTCCATGTCCACGTCCATGTCCACGTCCACGTCCACGTCCACGTCCATGTCCATGTCCACGTCCCTGTCCACGTCCATGTCCATATCCACGTCCATATCCACGTCCACGTCCACGTCCATGTCCACGTCCACCTCCACGTCCACGTCCACGTCCATGTCCATGTCCACGTCCACGTCCACCACGTCCATGTCCACGTCCACGTCCACGTCCATGTCCACGTCCATGTCCATGTCCACGTCCACGTCCACCACGTCCATGTCCACGTCCACGTCCACGTCCATGTCCACGTCCATGTCCATGTCCACGTCCACGTCCACGTCCACGTCCACGTCCACGTCCACGTCCATGTCCACGTCCATGTCCACGTCCACGTCCATGTCCACGTCCACGTCCACGTCCACGTCATGTCCACGTCCACGTCCACGTCCATGTCCACGTCCACGTCCACGTCCACGTCCACGTCCAAGTCCACGTCCATGTCCACGTCCAAGTCCACGTTCACGTCCACGTCCACGTCCACGTCCACGTCCATGTCCACGTCCACGTCCATGTCCACGTCCACGTCCACGTCCACGTCCATGTCCATGTCCACCTCCACGTCCATATCCATGTCCACGTCCACGTCCACGTCCACGTCCACATCCACGTCCACGTCCACTCCACGTCCACGTCCACGTCCATGTCCATGTCCATGTCAACATCCACGTCCACGTCCACGTCCACGTTTACGTCCATGTCCACGTCCACGTCCATGTCCACGTCCATGTCCATGTCCACGTCCACGTCCACGTCCACGTCCACGTCCACGTCCATGTCCACGTCCACGTCCACGTCCACGTCCACGTCCATGTCCATGTCCACGTCCACGTCCATGTCCACGTCCACGTCCACGTCCATGTCCACGTCCACGTCCATGTCCATGTCCACGTCCACGTCCACGTCCACGTCCACGTCCATGTCCACGTCCACGTCCACGTCCACGTCCAGGTCCACGTCCACGTCCACGTCCACGTCCATGTCCATGTCCACGTCCACGTCCACGTCCACATCCACGTCCACGTCCACGTCCAAGTCCACGTCCACGTCCAGGACCATGTCCACGTCCACGTCCACGTCCACCTCCACGTCCACGTCCATGTCCATGCCACGTCCACGTCCACGTCCATGTCCACGTCCACGTCCACGTCCACGTCCATGTCCATGTCCACGTCCACGTCCACGTCCACGTCCATGTCCATGTCCACGTCCACGTCAACGTCCACGTCCACGTCCACGTCCATGTCCACGTCCACGTCCATGTCCAGGTCCACGTCCACGTCCACGTCCATGTCCACGTCCATGTCCACGTCCACGTCCACGTCCACGTCCACGTCCAGGTCGACGTCCACGTCCACGTCCACGTCCACGTCCAGGTCCACGTCCATGTCCACGTCCACGTCCACGTCCACGTCCATGTCCATGTCCACGTCCACGTCCATGTCCACGTCCACGTCCACGTCCACGTCCATGTCCACGTCCACGTCCACGTCCACGTCCACCTCCACGTCCACGTCCACGTCCCACTCCACGTCCATGTCCATGTCCATGTCCACGTCCACGTCCACGTCCACGTCCACGTCCATGTCCACGTCCACGTCCACGTCCATGTCCACGTCCATGTCCACGTCCAGGTCCACGTCCACGTCCACGTCCACGTCCACGTCCACGTCCATGTCCACGTCCACGTCCACGTCCAAGTCCACGTCCATGTCCACGTCCAAGTCCACGTCCACGTCCACGTCCACGTCCATGTCCACGTCCACGTCCATGTCCATGTCCACGTCCACGTCCACGTCCACGTCCATGTCCACGTCCATGTCCACGTCCATGTCCACGTCCACGTCCACGTCCATGTCCATGTCCAAGTCCACGTCCACGTCCACGTCCACGTCCACGTCCATGTCCACGTCCACGTCCATGTCCATGTCCACGTCCACGTCCACGTCCACGTCCACGTCAATGTCCACGTCCACGTCCATGTCCACGTCCACGTCCACGTCCACGTCCAGTCCACGTCCACGTCCACTTCCACGTCTACGTCCACGTCCATGTCCACGTCCAAGTCCACGTCCACGTCCACGTCCACGTCCACGTCCATGTCACGTCCACGTCCACGTCCACGTCCACGTCTACGTCCACGTCCATGTCCACGTCCACGTCCATGTCCACGTCCACGTCCACGTCCACGTCCATGTCCACGTCCATGTCCATGTCCACGTCCACGTCCACACGTCCATGTCCACGTCCACGTCCACGTCCATGTCCACGTCCATGTCCATGTCCACGTCCACGTCCACGTCCACGTCCACGTCCACGTCCACGTCCATGTCCACGTCCACGTCCACGTCCACGTCCACGTCCATGTCCAGTCCATGTCCACGTCCACGTCCACGTCCACGTCCATGTCCACGTCCACGTCCACGTCCACGTCCACGTCCATGTCCATGTCCAGTCCACGTCCACGTCCATGTCCACGTCCACGTCCACGTCCACGTCCATGTCCACGTCACGTCCACGTCCACGTCCACGTCCACGTCCACGTCCACGTCCACGTCCACGTCCACGTCCAACGTCCACGTCCACGTCCACGTCCACGTCCACGTCCACGTCCACGTCCACGTCCACGTCCACGTTCACGTCCACGTCCATGTCCACGTCCACGTCCAGTCCATGTCCACGTCCACGTCACACGTCCACGTCCACGTCCACGTCCACGTCCACGTCCACATCCACGTCCATGTCCATGTCACGTCCACGTCCACGTCCACGTCCACGTCCACGTCCACGTCCCCTGTCCACGTCCAGGTCCACGTCCACGTCCACGTCCACGTCCATGTCCACGTCCATGTCCACGTCCACGTCCACGTCCAGTCCACGTCCATGTCCACGTCCAAGTCCACGTCCACGTCCACGTCCACGTCCACGTCCATGTCCACGTCCACGTCCATGTCCCACGTCCACGTCCATGTCCACGTCCACGTCCACGTCCACGTCCATGTCCACGTCCATGTCCACGTCCACGTCCACGTCCACGTCCACGTCCACGTCCATGTCCACGTCCACGTCCATGTCCATGTCCACGTCCACGTACACGTCCACGTCCACGTCCACGTCCATGTCCACGTCCACGTCCACGTCCACTGTACGTCCATGTCATGTCCAGTCCACGTCCACGTCCACGTCCACGTCCATGTCCACGTCCACGTCCACGTCCACGTCCACGTCCATGTCCATGTCCATGTCCACGTCCACGTCCATGTCCACGTCCACGTCCACGTCCAAGTCACGTCCACGTCCACGTCCACGTCCACGTCCACGTCCACGTCCAAGTCCACGTCCACGTCCAGTCCACGTCCACGTCCACGTCCACTTCCACGTCCACGTCCACGTCCACGTCCATGTCCACGTCCACGTTCACGTCCATGTCCATGTCCACGTCCACGTCCATATCCATGTCCACGTCCACGTCCACGTCCACGTCCACGTCCACGTCCACGTCCACGTCCACGTCCACGTCCATGTCCATGTCAACGTCCACGTCCACGTCCACGTCCACGTCCACGTCCACGTCCACGTCCACGTCCAGTCCACGTCCACGTCCACGTCCACGTCCACGTCCACGTCCATGTCCACGTCCATGTCCACGTCCACGTCCAGTCCACGTCCATGTCCACGTCCAAGTCCACGTCCACGTCCACGTCCACGTCCACGTCCACGTCCACGTCCACGTCCACGTCCACGTCCATGTCCACGTCCACGTCCATGTCCACGTCCACGTCCACGTCCACGTCCATGTCCACGTCCACGTCCACGTCCACGTCCACGTCCACGTCCACGTCCACGTCCACGTCATGTCCACGTCCACGTCCATGTCCACTCCATGTCCATGTCCACGTCCATGTCCATGTCCACGTCCACGTCCATGTCCACGTCCACGTCCACGTCCACGTCCACGTCCACGTCCATGTCCACGTCCACGTCCACGTCCACGTCCACGTCCACGTCTATGTCCACGTCCACGTCCACGTCCACGTCCACGTCCATGTCCACGTCCACGTCCACGTCCACGTCCACGTCCACGTCCACCTCCATGTCCACGTCCACGTCCACGTCCACGTCCACGTCCATGTCCACGTCCACGTCCACGTCCACGTCCACGTCCATGTCCATGTCCACGTCCACGTCCACGTCCACGTCCATGTCCACGTCCACGTCCACGTCCACGTCCACGTCCATGTCCATGTCCACGTCCACGTCCACGTCCACGTCCACGTCCATGTCCACGTCCGTCCACGTCCATGTCCACGTCCACGTCCACGTCCACGTCCACGTCCACGTCCACGTCCACGTCCACGTCCATGTCCACGTCCACGTCCACGTCCACGTCCACGTCCATGTCCACGTCCACGTCCACGTCCACGTCCACGTCCACGTCCACGTCCAAGTCCACGTCCACGTCCACGACCATGTCACGTCCACGTCCACGTCCACGTCCACGTCCATGTCCACGTCCACGTCCACGTCCACGTCCATGTCCACGTCCACGTCCACGCACGTC